GGCGGGTGACAGGGCTGGCTTCTGTCCCGACCATGTGTGACTGTCCTGAGGCCACCGTAGTCAGTGACCACACGTTGGGGAGGGAGGCTTGAGACAGCAGGGATTCGTTCTCCCAGTTCTGAAGGCCCGCGGTCCCTCGGCCTCTCCAGAGCCTTCGAGGGAGGGTCCTTCCAACCTCCTCCAGGTCCTGGTGGCTCCAGCCTCTTCTCACGGCCTCCTTTGCTGTATCTGTGTCCAAATCGCCCCTTCCCTTCTGACAAGGGCACTGGCCATCGGCTTTAGAGCCCCTGGGCTCCGGGATGTGCTCGCCGTGAGATGTCTAACCATCACAGCTGCAGGGACCTTGTTTCCAAATCAGGCCACCTTCTGATGGGCTGCTGGACTTGGGGACACCATTCACTCACTACTGGCCACTTCACCTCCGGGACAGGAGTGAGCTTCTCTCCGAGTCGGGACTCCGGCGGCGATGGCCCTGATGAAACCCTTAGTCTGAGCCTAAGGACAAGTGGGCGTGGCAGGGCATCGCAGGGGCCCTTCTGCTCCAGGCCTGGCCGCGGCAGCTGCGCCTCAGAAGTGTCCCATGGCCAGAGACCGTCTCTGTCCACCTCGCCATTATGGGGGCTGGCACGTGCCGGACACCGCTGGGCCCTCCTCCCAGCTGGATGACCTTAGCTGCATACAGATGGGGCACAGGCTCCTGCTGTGGAGGTCACACCGCCGGCCGGGCCAGCAGCAGGTGGCAGGGGTGGCCGGGATGGCCGGGTGGGCTCCAGGTTCATAGCTCCTCCTCGGGACAGCAGGGAGGTGGTGCTGCCTGGGAAGCAGCGTGGGCAAGCCACGGGTGTCCCTGACAGCGGCATCAATAGCACCTGGGGACAGACTGGCAGGGTCCTGGGATGCACCGCGACCTGCTGAGTCAGGAGTCTGGGCAGTGTCACCAAGACTGGGAATTTCACCCCTAGACCCCCAGTGTAAGAACGGCTGGCAAAGTGGATCTGGATAGAGTCAGAGGTCAGAGTTCAAGTCCCAGACCTACGTGCGGCCTCGTGCAGAGATCGGCCTCGTGCAGAGATCGGCCTCGCCGGCCCCCGGCTCCCTCTCTGCGTGATGGGGCGGTGGGTAGGAGAGCCCCCAGGTCAGGTCTCCGGTATTTTCTGAGCTCAGTACTGATGGCGGTGTACCGTGAAGCGTGTGCCTTCCTGCTCTGGAGTGACCTCAGGAGAGTGGGGACACTCATAGGAAGAGTTACCTGGAGCTGCGGGTCCCGAGTTTGAGGTCCAGCTCCAGCCTGCTTAACTCCAGCACCGTGTGGGGCCTGGAGCCAGGGCCCGCCTGTCTGGGAGAGTGGGAAGGGCTGGAGGTGGGAATTTTGTTCTGGGCTGGGGAGTGGCTGTTATTTTAATAGGCTGTTAGAAATTAACGCAGAGAGGGTCCAGCAGTTAGCGTAATGGCTATGCCGCTGAACTCCCATGTAGTCGACCGCGGTTTGAGTCCTGGGCCTGGTGGCTTAAACTCACTCCGGGCACGTGTGCATGCGTGCCCAAGATCCCGAGAGGAGAATGGAGGAGAAGGGATTGTGGCGTGGCCTTCCCCACTGGGGGGGGGTGATTTCTCGCTTTCTATCTCTCTTTCTCTGTCTTTCTGGCGACTGCATGCACCCTATAGCAAAAACCTCTCCAAAAACAAAGAAATTAACGCAGAGATTGAGAAGACAGTGTAGGGTTCCCAGATAGCACCCCACGCTGTTTCCCCGAGTTTAAGTCTATTTACATATTTTTCATGACAGAGAGCAGGGCTGGCACCCCACAGGTCCCCTGCTGGGAGCTACCTCTTGTCTCTGGGGGCGGTCCTGAGCACACACACCTGTGCTTAGAGAGGCCCCAGGACACAAACCTGGACCTTCCCACACGGGTCCAGCCACGTTACCTCCGCACACCAGCCCGGCCCTGCCGTAACTCTCGCGTTAGTGCAGACACTCAGGGTGACTGGTGACGCGGACCGTCCTTCAAGACCAGGCCACGCCACTCCGTGCACGTTTTCTTCTCGGGCCTGCCTCCTGCTCTCAGATCCTGCACGACACAGTCCCCACGTGTCCTTGGGGCCCTCTGGGCCGCGGGCTCCTGGCTTCCCCATTGCTGTGAAGTCGTCCTCCCAGAGCCCAGCTGGCCGGTGTC